TCCAATATCCAACCCTATTCTTTCTAAAAGGACAGGTTCACCGACCCTCTGGGCACGGCGAGATAGAGATCTATAGAACCACTTCTTCAGGACTTGTTGTCGTTCAAACATGCAAGCAGAAGAGTGAGATCCACGAAAGAAAACACTTCAAGGTTTTTTTGTTGCTTATTAGAATACATGATGACTGCGTTTGGTCTAGGTGGTTTTGATACATTTTCTGTCCTTTGGCGATTTGTCAGTGAACTGTTTTATGTAAAATCCATTAAGGGACAGTGACTGAGGTCGAAGTTTAGACAATGCGCATTGTTTATTCTAGCATACTATGGGGTTACCCTCTACCAGGGCGACAGATTGATTTTTCACAGATATTCACAAATATGTCTTTAGATAAATAGACAATCATTTTGGTTTGATGTCGACTCAGCAAAAAAAGGCCACAATGATAACCACAATGGTAGAGGGTACCACGGGGTCATCCATTTTCGTCACCATTTTATAAGTCGACAAACTGTGTACGGTGGGGGTTGGGGGAGGGGGTATTAATGCTCTTTGTACGCCCTTGAAAATAAAAATAATAAAACTGATGATCCAAATTGCTATCAGAGGTCATTATTTTTAGCTTTTCAGTTAGTACTCTCTAAAGGGGGTGGGGGTGGGGGTGGAAAAATCTGCTCTCTGTAGACTAGTGTAAATGGTAATAAAATATTTAAATTGTTAGCATTGAATTCAATGTTATTATAACGCACTAAGTCCAACACCCGGCCTCAGTAAAACAATGCTTATTATTTACAGAAGAAACAAGTAAATAAATCAGCTATCGATTATCTATTTGGTCTTTTTTGCTTGTGTGCTTTTTATAGATCTACCGTTACAGTTTTTTATTTGAATATAATAAGCAATAAAAAAGCATGGTCAGTTACATCACACAAATCCTCAGGTTGAAAATTGAAGCCCTGAATGTTGTAATTTATATTGGTAGCACCAAAGTTACACGGATTCTGTTTACTTGTACACTGAATAAAGCTATAAATGTCGTTATTTACATTGCATGGGAAAAATGCGCACCACAGCGCTATTTAAGCATTTACTGTAAAATGTTGCCATCAATGAATGCTATTGTACTGCAGTTGACCATAAGGCTTTAACGTGTGATCGCCCTTGTTTACAGAATAATTGCTCTTGCTTAACGATATTTGGATTAACCATTTGGAGTACCAATATAAAACGAATTATGGTCTATTCTGCACTCTGAGGTACGGGTACTATAAACCACTTATAGTACACTTCAATTCACCAGTGCTATTTATTCTAAATAAGTTAACGTGGATACGCAGCAGGAAGGTGTGTCGAAACGGTTTGACTGTTTATAGGTTTAAGACGCGCTGGCTGCGTTGGTAATGTTTCACATGTTTTCTTTCTCCATCCCCCATTTCTCCCTCTCTCTCCCTCTCTCTCTTTCTCACTCTCTCTTTATTCTTCTTCATCTTTTCCCCTCTTTTTCTCCGTCTTTCCCCCCTCTCTTTGCTCTCTCTTTTCTCTCTGTCATACCAAAACACAGAGAAGTAAAACATGCCCCTCCGGCGGGATCTTCAATATCTTCGAATGTAAAACATTTTGTGTTACATCACATTCTGTTTAATTTTGCAGCGCGAGGTGTTTGCATTGCAGGACCTCATCTGTGAGAAATACACCAAGACATGTACGGGCCCACGGGATCCCCATAGCCACCGACGTTTGCTGAAAATGAATCTGTTGTATAGCGGATTCATAAATTAATTTCCTATCCTAACACAAACTACATGTTAACTTATTTTAAAGTTCTATTTTATTTTTTAAAACTGTTTCTTAGTGTATGGTCGTAGCCTGTGTTTCACATGCTGGGAATTCTGAATAAAAATATAGCAAAACTTTTGTAGTGGTTTAGCTTTAACTCTGCGGTTGTACATGTACAACACGTCTTCATCCTCAAAGCGCGTTTCTAAAATACACTTGCACTGGGCTCGCGCGTCAAACATGTTAAGAAATCTTTTTAATCGTGAAATTACAAAGACAGTTTGCTGACAACATGCAATCTTTTTCATCAAAGGAATGGGAGAAAGAAAATTGTACACGCCTTTGCCTCCTAAAATAACCACATTTATCGAACTTTACCCAATCTTCCTATATCCCGCATTTACATGTAGATACTACATCGCCTTCACTTTTGACTGGTTGAATATTGCGTAGTCTGGGAACTGAAGTCGATTTTGAAGAATAATCAGCAATAAGAAAGACAGCTGTGAAGGCATCCCCATTCTTTCCCAGACCTTTGGTAAATATGAAGGGATCAATCTTTTAGAAAAAGAAGAAATAACATGTTTACGACAATCTTCGATTTTCACAGACATCTCTTCTCTTTCCGTTCGAAATAGAAGCATATCTGTGATTTGTTTAGATAAGCAGGGGCGTTTTTAAGATTTGAACTCTTCCCTGAACTGAGTACAGTTTTCCTTAACTTTGGGACGATATATTTCAGTGCGGCTCAACTCGGCGGATCACACTATTAAGATCACTTCATCAAATACAGCATATTTAATCTCTCCGTCTTCCCGCCCACGGCACTTTGCCTAAGTGACAGGTGTGGCAGTCAGCTAGGAACCGTTGTTCTTTTCCCATGGCTATTACTTTGAATGTGACCTTGGTCGTATAAAATGGCCCAAAATAAAGTATTTCCGTTTACCCTAACATGTACTATAATAATTTGGGACTTCCGTTTCTAGGACTGCTACCATTTTTTGTCACATGTGCCGTCAGACTGACTTTGTTCTTCTGACTAACGTCACATTTAATGTCTGCTGAGATGACCCGTGCTGGGAGGACCCGACTTATATAGAAACACGCGTTCATTTCGTCTATGTTGCTGTTACAGAGTAATAGATTAAGAAATGGGAAGATGAATCGATGTTGCTTTTGATAATATATGATGACGGTAAAGAATTTGAGGACGATGGAAATGTTTTTAACTATTGTCATAAAGTCTCTGTATCATTGAAACGACCCATGTATTTATGTATTTATCGGTCTGCTTGCTAAACCTCGAGTCCCAGACACTAGTGGTATTGATTTGACATTTAGTAAAGGCTCTTCCACTAGGATATTTCTGTCAACATATGCGTTTGCATTTTACTTCAAACTTGGAGAAATATATTGCTATTATTTGTCCATATATTCCATATTAAATACCCGTATTTTCAGGGGATCGAAATCAATAGAAAAACGCTCACCGAGTTCGTTAAGAAAAAATAACAACACATGTCATAAACGTAACAAAATCTCTTTGTTAAAACTTATCGTTGGCATAAAACGGGGGTGCATATATCACAATGGAACGCCTGCCTCTATGGCAGGTCAATGGGAAGATTAAAATATAAAAGAAATATTTAGATGGACTCATAGACGTATAAAAATTCCTACTTAATCCCGGACCATCGGAGTTGTCTAAAAATGTCACCAATTAAGCATTGGCACAATTACGCCAAACTAATCAATCAAACAGTCTTTCGTTAATAGTGTCAAATTGAACCTACCCACAGCAGTGGCGTCCTTGATTAAAATACTATTCTGTCCTTAATTAAGTACGTTATAAATTACTTATTGCATAACAAGTAAATCAGTGCATACCTTACACAAAATAGAAATGAGTCAATCAACTTAAAACAATGATGCAATCTTTGAATGCTTATAGTCTACTTGTACTCATAGGTTATTTTTTTCTATGCACGAAAACTAGCTGTTCTGGTCTCACCAGGCAATAGTACGCACTGCAATCTACTTTGCAGATTCGACCTTCTTAATTGTTATGACATACGAATACGTTATTATTATTAAAGGAGAGCAATTTGCATCGGTTGGTTACACTGGAAGCATTTGGCTTCAACGCGCAATGGAAGTTAAGCAAATACAACACGTGGAGTACACTCGTGTTGACCTAGACGATTGATTATGCAATAAGTGCATTTGTATAGCATGCAACGACAGGCTATAGAACTGAAGACTACGAAATATCACTGGGATGTACTGAGATACACCAAAGCTCTGCTTATGTGATCAAGCAACACGTTTGTAATACAAAAAAAGATCACAAAACAATCAAGCTAGATATCACACTAGCAAAGAGTATGTATCATTTTCAATATGAAAGCATAATCGATAGCCGTTAACCAGTTCAGTTAAATACTAATGGAAAAGGCGTCTCACATCCAGCTTTGAGAGCTCCACTAAACTGACTATATATTTAGCCGATATAATTACCAGCACCACTGAACACGTAACGCTACTGATAATGGCAAACCCAAGCACTCGGTGCATTATATACGGTACTCTCAGATATACCATCATAACGGTAATTTTATAAAATACCATCTGATTGAAAAACCTCAAAACATTCATAAGTATAATTATGAATATGACTTGCATGTACGAGTATTATACGCTGGCCAGGGAAGCTAGCAATTCATCCTTACCAGTTTGCCCTCATATAAATCTATACATAGGCGAAAAGAACACATGGCGGGGTAGGTGGCCGGATATTTTCTTTTTATCCAGAGACATTCATAAATTGTCAAATGAGTGGATGAAAAGTAATATGCATTAAATATAAGTGAAAACCACAACAGGTTAAGTCTAACTTTTGACTTTCTGTGAGGAAGTGACCGACAAAAAGACAAACTGGCAGTGCCGCCCCTGAAATCCAGTTATGGGGTATTTTTGAACCCCAATTCAGACCCTGAATTGCCCACTTACAAAGTGTAAACATGCTAAACTTTTTCACTCCCTATGAAGTCATATACTCCTTGGTGTCCTTAAACGGAACCTAGGGATCAGGGTGGAAATTCATTGTTGCGTTTTGCTATATGCTGCATATGCAATGAAAGCCATGCTATCACATAATGGTATAGAACACTGTGCCGTGGCGAAGATAACACGGTGTGTGTGTGTATGGGGGTGGGGGGGTGGGGGGGTTATCCCAGGCCGCCGTCTCCGCCTCCTCCCCGACCCGGCGAGTGCCGGTAAAAATTGTTGAAATTATTCACAACGATAGGCACAGGAAGAGCTATAGTGAGTACACCCGCTATCACACACAGTGTCCCCACGAGTTTCCCCCACACCCCACTGGGGACCAGGTCCCCGTACCCCACCGTTGTCATGGTGACAATAGCCCACCAGAACCCCTCGGGAATACTGTAGAATTTCGTGTCCTTGGATTCCGTTTCCACGAAAAACATCACTGAAGCGAAAAGTACTACCGATATTCCCAGAAATATGGCGAACATGCCGAGTTCCTTCATGCTGGCTTTCAGAGTAAGGCCCAGAACTTGTAAGCCACGGGAATGTTTAGAGAGTTTGAAAATCCTAGTCACTCGGAGAAGTCTCAGGATTCTGAGATAAGCCAAAGATGCGCTTTTGCTGTCATAGGAACAACTTTGTAGCCAGGAAACCACGGCAACGATAACGAAGTAGGGCAGTATTGCCAAGAGATCAAATATATTGATGATATTGAGGCAGAATTTCTTCTTATTCGGGCAAGAAATGAGGCGTATGATGAGCTCGAACGTGAACCATATAACACAGCACGATTCAATGATGAAAAATGGGTCTCGGTAATTCGGTTTATAGGCGTAGGTCTGCGTATTCCCATCCTTATCTACTACAGTCACATTAATGCATGAGTTATCCTTAAACTCGGGTAAAGTCTCCAAGCAAAACGTTACGATCGAAACGAGAATCACAATAATGGAGAAAAGGCCGAGAACACGTGCATACATAGAGCTGCTAGGAAATTCCATTAATAACCAAATTTCTCTGAGAATTCGATGCCGAGGTAGCACTACATCAGGTTCAGGCATGAAGCCTTCTTTCTTTTTATAATCTAAAACAATCTCGTCCCCCAGCTCGTAAAATGTCATTTCGTCCATGAAAATATCCTGCGGCACCTCCATCGGCCTTTTTAGCCTACCCCCCGACTGATAAAAGTTCAAAATGGCCTCAAACGTTGGCCGGTGGCGATCTAGAAAATACTCCTGTCGAAAGGGGTCCCAGTACTTTCTGCGTTTGTTTGGGTCCCCAAGTAATGTATTGGGGAACCGTTCTAAAGTTCGTAATTGGGTCTCGAACCGCTGCCCACTGACGTTGATGGTGATCCTCTGACATCTTTCAATGAGACAGTCGTGGGGGAAGCTAGAGTGATCGTCTAAGTCGGAGCTAGGGGTGTGCTTCAGGCTACCGCTGCAGTCCTTTGAGAGAGCCACGGCGGTGACCAAAAATTCAGGGGGAACAGACTTACTCCTTCTCCGGTATTCGGCCTCGGTGTCCGCTTCGACTGTTACAGGCGTAGTGTGCTCAGATCGAGTCGGTTTTCGGATCTTTTGGTCCCCCCGGAACAATCCTTCCAGTCTGTCTCTCGGTATGGTAAAAGTCCCATTGCTGACATGTTGCGTGAGCAGCTCCCTGTCGTGCTCCACCTCAAACGACGTCGGAGAGCGGCTACGGCTGAAGTTTTTGGAGCCAAGGCCGTTGGTCGTTAAATTACTGAAATGCATGATTTATATTTATCCCGTTAATTACATCCTCTTCTCGTAGATATGCACACTGGCTGCTCCTGCTTCTTAATCTAATAAAAGGTGTGACATTCCGATAGAAAATGTTCTCCGGAGCGGCCTCCGCGGAGCCCTGCCTCATGCCGAGCGGGTAGTGCGTACTCCGAGCCTCAGCTAATAACCTGGCTGAGCTAAGAGAGTAGCGGGGCACAGGTGGCTCTCTGCTTTAATGCGCGGTATACGTGTCCGTGGGCCTATTCACCGACTGAATTCGCACCCGATTTAGAATAAGCAATGAAGCTCGAGTAAACCCACAGGATTCATTATGATACGAAAATGAAGAACGGCTTTGTTGTTTGGTTATTCTAAACAATAGTGCCCAAAACTCCTTGCTGATTGTTTGACGGCGCTGTGGAAATCCTTGAAACAACTACAATACTAATCCCACGCCTGGTCTCCCAAGGGAAACAGCAGTTCCTTGTGTTTGAATTATGCATTGTTCGACAATGCTGATAGAAGGTGTTTTTGGTCCTATCCATTCAAACAAACGCTATTTTTGTTTGGTACACCGTATGTTTATAGCTCCAGTCCCGTTAAATGCGCCCGTTGTACGACCCTCCCTATAAGTCGTCAAAACCGATCGCGTCTTGGGCAGGTGAAAGGCCCTTTGTTTGTTTGCCTACGTAATCCAATTGAATGTAACGCCATTGCTTTCTGATGCTTGAAAATAAATTCGATATAATTACGGTGGCGTGTTGAAATGTTTTGTATTTACATAATGCGCTCTAACTTAACACATCAGCAAACAATTTTCCGGTTGTGTTGGACTCACCCAGACCATAACATCACACCTTCACGATCCCGCTAGAATCGATGAAGAAAAAAAAATCTATGATTGGGTAGATGCAAGAGAGGTAATCTTTGCAAGCGCTCATTCCGCTTGCTACTATTGCTGCTATTGCTTTCAACTATTAATGAGACTCCAGGAGTAGTTTGATTTGGTTCCAATAATAATCTCTCTACAAACGCGCAGTCCGATTACGCATGCAGAAAGGGTATATAAGTTGTGCATATTATTGTGATATTCGGTAAATGTCCAAATGTAGCTTTTCCGACCTGTAGGTGTAATCCTTTGCTTCTATGCGGCCTAAAAACCTTGCAGTCCAGATTCAAACGGAAACATTAATGGTTTATATTTCCTGGCGTAGAACTCTCGATAATTGTAATTTTCAAAGAGATTTCCTCTTCTCCCTTTGCCTCTCTCTCTGCGTTCTCTTTACTGATATGTTTATACTGATATGTTTATGTTTCTTAACGATATCCTTTAAATGCGTGTCTATTTTCCTTTTAATTTTCGTTCTTAGAATTCAATTCACAGCCATGTCTTACATATTTATCAAATAGTTAAGTAGATTCCGAAACGTTGGTCTACCGACCGCAATAAAAGTCAAGTTTCTCCCATTTTTTCAGCAACTTTCACTTTCATTTTTGTCGTGCTCTGTCTGTAATGAGTAATTTTACCACCCGGGTCAGGGTGACCTCAATGGTCCATTAATTTAAGAGGGCACCTTTTACCCTCGTCCTGTTGGCCGAATTCCTTCAACATTAAAAGACCGTTTATAGTCGTGTACTCTTAATAACAGACTCCAAGGTATAGCTATCCCAGACTCACTTGTTAACGTGCTCCTCCTCTGGTTTCACTTGTTTTCGCGGTACGTGTGTAACTGTTTCCTGCTGTCCGAGACCTTTAGGCTGTTTTTGTTATCTACCTGTTTCCCCTCTGAACCAACCCTGTCTATTCCTGTCACTGGCAGTGGGGTTCGATTATCAATTTATATCATATATTTTCAGAATCAACACACCGTGGTGTCACGTTACTGGAACGCGTCGTTCTTTCTTTAACGCTGGTGGCGCAGGAAGGGAGCTACGAAAACAACCATGCGTAACGCTAATTATCCCAATAAGATCGTCACATAATAATTATTGAATTGTCTAAGGAGTTATTCGAGTTAACAGATGTTCTTATAGAATTGTTGTGACAATATATGGAATTGCCAAATACATTCTGTCACTCTAGAAAAATATGATACACTCTCGTGTTGGATGATGTCGACTTTTGTATTGAGGGGTGAGTTGGGTTTTCATTATTTTATTTCCATAATAAGTAGAACTTGCCGTATAAAAACATGACGATTAAAATGGCTTGTATTCACTTACAACAACTATTATCCTTACTAGTGGAAACAACAGACAAAGCAAGAAAAAGGCCAGAATCGATGCTATTTACTTAATCGGAATTCATTTAGAAAAGACGAATGGTGGCATAACCCTGCACCCGGATTACACAGATGTTTCGCAAAATAGATTAGACATCGATCCGCAGGTCTTAATGAAGACTGTTTCAATTGTTCAGGGATAAGTTCCCCAAAGGTCCTCGTTTTGAGCGATACGCCATCAAATCTTCAGATTGATTCATTGTCGGGAACGAGGCTGCGCACGGAGAGCTAATGTATTGTCACCTTGTATCTGTGTTTCCCATCGCAAAGGCAAGACCAAAATAATCAATTTGGACACTATCGATCGAACATCATAAACGCTGATGAAATGTTGTAACAAAAACCTGCTCGGCAAAAACTCCCTTTCTCTTGCTTCCCCCGAGTGAAAAACACACGCACCTGTTTCTCCGAGTACATGTTTGGTTTTTTACCCTTGGGGGAATCTTGCAGGGATAATGTTACTGAGGACTTAATGATAAGTGATCCCTTTTACCTGGAATCCAACTCACAACCAAATGCTCCTTACGAGATACAAATTATGGCACTACATTTTTTTTCTTTCATTTTCAAAAGCAAGGGACACAGGGACACTTCATCAATTATTTCTTGGAGAAAAAGATCGATACAATTATGTGAGGAACAAAAAGAGCAGCTTTTCCTTAATGAGTGTTGCTTTAAATACACGTTTTCCTCAGCAAGGAGGTGTCCTTATACGAGCACGGCAAGACGTGACACCGTGTAAGCGATATGCAGATTCATATAGGCAATTTTGTTGAACGGCGTGTGAATATTTGGAATGCTTAAATTTGATCTTAGATTTTGTTATTACTGTCATTTCATTACTGTAACTACTGTGTATTATTTTGCTGTTATTATTCCAATAATCCTACTTGTTTGGGTGTGATCCTTTTCGCTGTGAGCAGTGACTCGACGTGTGGATCAAACCTAAAAACAACATAATGTGTGGTTATAAAATGCTTTATTTATATGAATTCTAAGCAATTGTGCTGCTATCTGTTTATTTATTTGACGTAGTTAAATGTCCATGATCTGATGGTTATACCTTATACATGCGCATGTGATTGTCAATAAAGATTCTTCCCCGGTGTTTATCAACCGTCATGGTTTTTTAAAAGCTTATATTTGGACAAAGGAATGTACAAGTAGGGAACGATTAAAGGTTCCTTAAAATCAAACGAACATACACTGTAACAACATGAGAATTGGGCAAAATGATTAAATTTTGATATTAGCGATGTTATGTTAAAAAGGGTGCGTAGTAAAGGAGCGAGACAAAAGAAGGACACAGATACGAAGGATCCGAATTTGTGTAAAGCAACGCAAGAACATAATCAAGGAAATATGATTTATACAGGTATCTGAAGATTGTTAAAAGTGTTCGGCAGCAAAATAAATTAATGGCATTATAAATCAACGATAACCGAGGACAAGGAGGAAAATTGTAATGAATTGTAACGGTATCAAATGTGCATGATACGGATGGGAAAACACACACACACACACACACACACAGAGAGAGAGAGAGAGAGAGAGAGAGAGAGAGAGAGAGAGAGAGGGCGCAGGCTCAACTAAATTGCAGTAGATTAGATTGGAATTGGAATTGTGACCAGTTGCGATTTCAAGTTATCAGGAGTCTCTATCGCATCTCACTATGCCTATGTTTGAGTACATATTGATGAATATATGGTATAGAACGCACCATGAAGATGGAGATCGTTTTCAATTTCTTGCTGTTAACGCCCTTTTTGCGTTTTCAATCGTAGCTATTACAATCATTACAGCGGAGAAAAAAGTAAATTTATTTAAAACTTCCAGGGCAAGTTGTGAAAGTCCAACCCCATAAAAATGGAATTTTCTGGAAACGTGATTACATCAGACGTGTAAATGCATTAGTTTTACTTTACATTGTGCAACATGTTTTTTGTCGAGATAAAAGTGCAGACAATTAATGTGCATTTGATATGGCATGCACATTTTTATTGCTTGCAAAAAGTCCGTAGACATGCTGTTTGGCTTTTTTGATTTAAGCTTTGTTAAAATGGGGTGCCATTTCGTTCGCATTCAAAAACTATTCAAACACTTAGGATCATCATTATAAAAGTTGTCTTTGACAGGTATACGTGGTATGACTAGTATCAAACGATGTCTCCGATAACACAAGAATTATGTCTGCCATTACTGACGTCATAGAAACATGAAGATTTGAGGTCTTATTTTCAAGAAGAGTTTGTAGTTCTTCACGATCTGAGTCTCGGCAACTCTCTACACCTGGCACGGAGTTCTAGATGTAAACAAACGGATCACGGAACAAGGTGCGTGGGTTGTGTTGATAAATGAGTAGATTCCTTTTTTTCTTTAACTCGTTCATCTTTAAATTTTTAGTCTCATATACAGCTTGCTAAAATATTTTTAAAAATCTGAGTTTTTCAGAAGTTATGAAATGAAATGTTATTTGGTTAAAAATGCTAGTGAGTTGATGAAGCCGTGAAAGCAACGGGACATAAAAGTGTAATCCATCACAAGCAGCGTTTTACCTTCGGTTACCAAAATTTAATCAACTCACTGGAATATTGGAAACGAAGTGTTTCGCGTCACGTTCATGTTTATTTCTTATTTTCGCCCCCTCTTTTAAATGTGTTTCAATGCATAGTGCTTGATTTCCATGTTTTTTTTGTCTCTTTTCGTTTCATTACTCATGGCAAAGCAAAACTTAAACGTAACATCAAATAAGTCAGATAGGCATCACCTTTATACTGGTAGTCGATTACGTGCATAAAATCATATGCCAGTTCGTAGCGCTTGAATCAGGAAGAATTCTTTGAGTTTACTTTGGCGTAACTGCCGTACATTATGACGTGTTCAATAACAACGGTTAGTCTTAATGTATTTTGTTTATCGCTTTATTACCACTCGGTGCACTTTGATCAGCGCTCAAGGGTCCTCGTGTCCAGAGTTAATCAGTTGCTCCTCCTGTGAACGCAACACGTGTTATAACAATATAACACGTGCCCTGAGCTAATATGGGCCGATTATAGACACGCTTTGGGATCAATATTAGTAGGCGGGTTGCTCATGGTATATGTATTGACATTGGGTGTGAACCGGTGTGACAGGAATAGAAGTCCGCAAGGAATCGTATATATGTAGTTCGTTTCCCATTACTTTGAATGCACTGTAGTTCTAGGAATGGAAGTTCGGATTGGGACAGGCTAGAGTCTGTAGGGTTAGCCGAAAGCACTGTGGGTAGAGTATGGGACTGGGAACGGAACCACGGTTCCTAGCCGACTGCCATTCCTGCCAGACTGGGTTTTCATGAGTCAAGGTCATTCACATCCATACATGATTGCAATACGCTGGTTTTAAGTTAAACAGCAGTTGTTGTGCCTTGATCTAATTTGAAAAAGTTGGTAAACAGAGTCTAA